CCCCAGAGTAGTACGATGTTACTATAGTGACACTGAACTACTCTGATGAAAGTATGTAAAAAAAAAAATTTTAAATTAAAAAAAAATGAATAAAACATAATTGAAATTTTTCTTTTAGTGTTTATTTTTTACATACTGTCACCAGCCAGTGTCCCTGATTATCATCACACCAGTCATATGATGACATGTATCTATATGTGGGATACAGTTACTTTCTTTGGACGTAGCCACCAAGACATGCAGAGCTGTGCACACAGCATGGATTTGAAGAAAACAAAAAGTACATATTTTTAAACTTTTTTTTAAAACAAGGCTTTCTTTTGGTGATATTATTTTCAAGAATGTTTTTTCACATGCTTTGCATTTATCAGGCAAGGAACTATTGTTAATATAAAGCAAGAGCAGGGGCGGACTGACCATTTGAGCACTCGGGCATTCCCCAAGGGCCCGGGGTCAGTAGAGGGCCCCATGAGATGCCCCTGGTACCTTTGATAGGCTTTTTTGGGTGTGGTTTGAATGTGGGTGAGGACACAGGGCCCCATGATCCCCTATTGCCCGGGGGGCCCCATGAGTTGTCAGTCCTCCCCTGAGCAAGAGTATTGTGACGATCGTGGCATCAGACCCCAGCCCTTCTCACCAAACTTGTGACCGAAGGACTAGCCAATCTAAAACCACGCTGTCACGTGCATAACAATGCCACGCCTAGCTGCACCCTGCACACAGATTTTCCAGCTAATGGACCACGATCTGTGTACCTGCAGCCTGGGAGCAATTGTTACTGTGTCAGGTTAATTACGCTATTACCGTTCACGCTGCCACCACCTCCTTTTTGTACAGAGAAAGAGGAAACTCGGCAATATTAGCAATAACACTATGATGTTTGAATAATCGTTTGTATACACAATGTCACCGCAGACAGATGTATGCAGACGTTTAAAACACACAGTAGACAGAGACAGGGATTCTTAGTTTGCAATAAAGAGCTTTAAAAACAGTTCAACACTTTCAGAAAGTAAGATTTATTACTAAAAGGTCAAAAGGGTGTAATAAAAATATTTACAGAAAAAGATGTAGCCAATATAAATGTATAAATATACAGAGAGCAATAACACAGCAAAGAGATAACAGAAAGAAGCTTAGAGAGATAGAGTACTTGCCAAAAGTCCTGGGTTAAGCAGATTGTTTCCTGAGCCAAAAGGGTGCCTTATCTCCCAAAGTTAGTTCTGATGTTAAAAGGGAGGATTCTTCAACTTTACTCACGACCTACTCAACTTAACTTAACTCTCTGCTCCAAGCATAACAGACTTTCTAGGAACTCAGCAGGGTGTCTCCCTGAAGCAGAGAACCAATCGCCTCATCTGGGGAGAGTGTTGCAGGCAGAGACCCAAGCTAGAACCAAAATCCCTTGCAGTATATATCATGATCCCTAACTTACCCTCGGTGTATGTAGCAGCCTTGCCACTAGTAGATTAATATGCAGAAGCATCTGCTGAACATCTAGATATTAAATATGACATACCTGCTTGGGACGGTTAAGGAGATATTATTTTCGGCTATCCTGTAGATTTTAGCTAGGGGGTGTAATATATCAGCCGACTTGTATTAAAGTGACCGATCTGAATATATACCTGGTTTCCTTGTAAGTCTTCCATATTTCCAGATATAAAAGTATATGGAAAGGGGGATTTTTAAATGTGAGTCTGTTTTACAGCTAGCTAGAATGTCTTTGAAGCTCAATGAAGGACTGGTTTATGGTTTTACGATATCTCAGATTGAGAAGCTAACAGACACCCAGGCACCAGCTATTTTGGGGATTTATAACCATGGAGCTCTCCCACTGTGCCTGTGATCTCTGGCATCATCTAGACCACATTCCTGAGGGAGGGGGGGAAATTGGAGGGAAGCTGATTTGGGAGTAGAAATGATACAAGAAGGAGGATCCTTAGCAAGATGGATGACCGTGTCCATCTCTGTATGCTCACAAGTATATATTTTTATATTTTTCAGATTTGTCCCCTGATATAAACTTTTGTAATGTCAGTTTAATATCCATCTTCCTCATATCACTCTACTTTAGCAATGAAAATTGTGCTTATCAAGGGCCTTCTACTCTCAAATTGCTCCTCTCAAAAATGGAATCAAAGCTGAAGTTTAGAACTAAATTCCTGGATAAGCAACTATTATCTACATGTAAGAATGATGTGTATATCTATTATTATTTAGTATTAGTCATATCCTAAAGTGTTACTAAACCCACAACAGTAAAATCAGCCTGTATATGCAGAAAAGCATGCCTGTTATACTCACTGTGGAACCTAAGGGGTTGCGTAAAAAAGGCTGTTTGATCCTGTTTTCTCTGTCCCTCCTCTTGTTCCAATGTCCACTTCTTATCTCCTGATAACACAGATTGAACCCATAGCCACATGCACATGCTCAGTTTGGTGTGTATTGCTAGAGAGGGTTTTTTTTTTTTTTCTTGGGATGAGATTTTTGGGATTTTTCTTGCATGTGATCAGCAAAGGGCCAATCAGCACTGTCCATTCAGAGGGTCGTGGGTCCTGCATCCTCCTAGAGCAGAAAGAAAATTCCTCCTACAAGCTTTAACCAGTGTTCTGCTGGACACTGATAGAAGTCACAAGACTGCTGTAACTGCTGATGAGAAAAGGTATTTAGCAGTTTATATTTACTAAAATAATTGCAATCAATGTTCTGTGTACTGTGGGAGACCAGACAGACAGAGTGAATGCAGGGTCCTGGGCTTAGTAACACTTTAAGGTAAAAAAATACCCCGTTTTCCTAAATCCTTACCTGAGTTCTCACTCTATTCTGCACTGATAGTCTGCAGCAGCTCTTTCCTCTCTTACTGCTCTCACAGGCCACAGAGGCAGCAGTAGGAGCCATTGAAGTCATCAAACCCTGTGATCAGAGAGCAGGGGGTGGGACTAAACTGTGATCTGTGTGTCTAAGGATGCACACAACCCAGCTCAGGAGTAAGCCACAGGTGTGACTCCATAGTACACATCTTATTATGGGGGGCACACTCAGAAGAGGAGGAGCAGAGAGCACTGATGGGGGATCGCAGAAGAGGAGGTATTGGACAGCTCTGTGTAATACAATTGCACAGAGTGGATAAGTATATCATAATTTGTGTCTGAGGTATATAAAATAAAAAAAAAACACTTTAGGAGTCTGGTATTTTATAAAGCTCCATTGTACTACTCCATTTCTGAATTAATGTACAACAAAGCCTCCAAAAGCACAGATGATCAATAGTAGTCTTTTATTCCAGGGTAGTCAGTATTTGAAAAGTACACATACAAGACATTTTACAATTATTATTCAATTATCCCTTCATAAAAACAGTGTTTAATACATTTGCTGGGTTTCCTATGTGAGGACTGTTCTATACAACTTCTTTCAAATGATTTCTACAGAAACCTATTACTTAAGAATGTATTTATTTTGTAATATTACCCCAGAAGGGTAAAAAAATCCTAATGATGCAAGCCTCAAATGAAAACAAATTCCAGAAATGCAAAGTGGGAGCTTATTGAAGCTATAGAACACACTGTATTATAAAAGCATGCAACTTATAATAGTAAAAGAACATAATAAATACTATCCTAGTGTCATAAAAAAGGTGGGTGTACATCAATGTTGCCAACCTCATGAAGTGAAATTTATTGACCAAATAATACAAAGAACACCAATTTTTTAACTGACAAAAATCATGAAATTTACTGACAGAGGCACATTTTTTACTGACACTTCAAAAGCGTACATAAATGGATGTTTTAACTGCAAAACAGTGCAAATATCAATATTTAATATACTATTAAATGTTTGGGCTTTTTAAAAAAAATAATAAACAGGTTATACTTACCTGCTCTGTGCAGAGGTTTTTCACAGAGCAGCCCTGATCCTCTTTTCTCAGATTCCCTGCCCATGCTCCTGGCTCCTCCCCCTTGACCAGTGCCCAGTGCCAAGAGGCTTGATATTGGGGCACTGGTGTGTGCTTGCTCTCGAGCCTGGCTCTATGTGCCCATATAGATAGATCCGCAGCTCTGCCCACCCCCCTCTCTGCTCATTGGCTCACAGCCAACAGTGGGGGGCAATGGCTCCCTTTGCTGTCTTAGTCAATGAGGAGAGGAAGGCCTGGGACAGCCAAGGCACTTGTGCACTTAGCTGGATCGAGAAGGGGCTCAGGTGAATATTAGGGGGGCTGTGTCAAAAAATGTTTTTCTCCATTTACATGAAAATCAGGAGTTTGCAGGATTCCCCTTTAAAGTGCAAGGTGAGCTCTGATGTAAAAGGGAATGCTGTGGATCAGGATGTAAAGGGGAATGCTGCAGAATTTGGTGCAAAGAAGAATTCTGATATAAGGTGGTCTCTGGTCACCATAGAGTCCACAGCATTCCCCTTTACATCAGAGTTTCCACTTACATCAGGGTCTGCAGTGTTGCCCTTACATCAGAGTTCCCCTTTACATCGGGTCTGCAGAGTTCCCCTTGCACTGTAAGGGGGAATCCTGCAGACGCTATGTAAAGTGGAACTCTGAGGAGACTGGATAAGGGGGAACGCCAGGAACTCTGATGTGGGTGGACTCTGGTGACCACAAACCACCTTTGGCAGAGTGAATACACTAAGGTAAGTAGGGGTTACTGATATAAGGGGGAACCTTTATATCAGTGCTCCCCTTACCTTACTGTATTCACTCCCCTCTTACATCAGTAACCCCCCCTCACACTGGTCTGGCGGTGCTGTCACTGACCTCCTCTCAGGTGCACTTTGCATGGCTCAGTCAGGCAATCATCTCCAGGTTCCAGCTTAGTGACTCTGGTTTCATCCTATATTCTCCTCCTCCTCAGTCCACACACATCTGACTCTTGTGACGCCCATCCCCGGCGGCACTCCCACTCTTGACTCCTCTCCAGGCTCCCCCTCAGAAACTGCAGACATGATCCAAGAGATGGTCAGAGACTGCTGACATGACACAAGTGATGGTCAGAGACTGCAGACATGATCCAAGAGATGGTCAGAGACTGCAGACATGAGACAGAAGATGGTTAGAGATTGTGAACATGATACAAGAGATGGTTAGAGATTGTGAACGTGTTCCAAGAGATGGTCATAGACTGTGGAAATGATACAAGAGATGTCAGAGACTGCAGATATGATACAAAAGATGGTCAGAGATTGTGGACACGATACAAGAGATGGTCAGAGACTGCAGACATGATACAGGAGATGGTCAGAGACTGCAGACATGATGCAAGAACTTAGGAGCTGTGGACATGAGAAGAGGGATGGAGCCAGGTGGAGGAAGGAGATGGAGGAGAGGGGCCATGAAGCCAGGTGCATAAAGGAGAAGGGGGGACTGAGCTAGGAGGAGGGGGGACAGAGCCAGGTGGACAGATGAGAGAGAGGATGGAGCAAAGTGGAGCAGAGGACAGAGCCAGGGTGACAAAAGAGAGGGGGGGATGCAGCCAGGTGGAGCGGGTGGATAGAGTAGAAGGAGGGACAGAGCCAGGAAGAGGAGGGGATGGAGCCAGGTGGACAGAAGAGAGGGGGAATGCAGCCAGGTGGAGGGAAAGATGGAGCCAGGTTGACAAAAGAGAGGTGGGAATGCAGCCAAAGTGGAGGGGGTGGATGGAGGAGAAGGGGAACAGAGTCAGGAGGAAGGGGGATGGAGCCAAGTGGACAGAAGAGAAGGGGGTACAGAGCCAGAAGGATGGGATGAGATAGCTGGGTTGACAGAAGAAAAGGGGGATGCAGCCAGATGGAGGGGGTGGGTGGAGGAGAGGGAGTATGGGCGCCAGGTCGAGAGTCAGGTGGACAGAAGAGAGGGGGATGAAACCAGGTGGAGGGGAGAACAGAGCCAGGTGGACAGAAGAGAGGGGTGATGGAGCCAGGTGGACAGAAGAGAGGTGGGAATTCAGCCAGGTGGAGGACGTGGATGGAGGAGAAGGGGGAACAGAGCCAGGAGGAGGGGCAGGGGCAGAGCCAGGTGGACAGAAGAGAAGAGAGTACAGAGGCAGAAGGAGGGGAATAGGGAGCTAGCTGGACAAAATAAAAGGGGGATGCAGCCAGGTGGAGTGGGTTTGAGGGAAAGCAGAGGCAGGTGAAGTGGAGGACGGAGCCTGGTGGATGGAAAAGGGTAGGATGGGGCCAGGTTGAAAGGAGAACAGAGCCAGGTGGACAGAAAAGAAGGAGATGGAGCCAGGTGGACAGAAGAGGGGTTACAGCCAGGTGAAAGGAGTGGAGGAGGGAGGAGAATTACCTGACCTGCCGGGCTGCATGCTCAGATACGGGTCCAGTATGGATTTTGGGGGGGACCCCCACGTCGTATTTTATTTAATTTTTGCCATGGGTTGTTCCCCTCAAAATCCATACCAGATCCAAAGGGCTTGGTATGGATGGGAGGCTTGACATTCAGCTGTCAGCTGGGAATCCCGCTGATAGCTGAAACATTAAAGAATTTTTCACTACTAATATACTGCATGACTTAATAAATAACTCATGCAGTATTTTAGCTGCTGAGCAGTATCTTACTGCATTATCAGATGTGGTAAGATACCGCGCAGTAAGTTATCCCTGTACGAAGTTCACGTTCGAACCTTCGGAGGGATTGAATGTTTAACCTCAAACTGAACGGGGGGGGGGTGTTCAGTCAATCACTAGTAATGTGTTTGTGACAACCACTCTAAACAAGTGTTGGCATTTGTCAATGCCTATGTTGAGTAGAGTCAACATGTTAGTATCCTACTGTAGGTGGAAAGGAGCTGGAATGTTTTGTCTCCAAAAGCTGGTGAGAATAGGGCATCCCCAAAGGGTATGGAGTAGGTGGCCCACTTGGACACATCTACTCCAGTATAGAGAGAAAAAGGTGGGGGAATACCTAGCTAGTCGACAAGGGGTGTAGTATTACCTGTTGGTGATTTTCAATGCAAATTCCCAGTGGTTAGAACAATGTGATGTTGTGGTTACTGAATGAAATCCCTTATGATTATAGTACCGGATGTGACAAAACACGTCAGGGGAAGTGACGTCAGAAGCAAGGAGAAGGAACGAAGTGGTACGATGGCCATCTTTACTTTGGAAATCGCTGTGCTTTTCACATGGGAGATTGCCTGGTAATTTATTCTTTGTGTATTCTATTATATATTCATGTAAGCAGATTTATTAAAGTGTTTATGGTCTTTTAATATATACGGAATTACACTATCATCCTTTCTCACTATATTTCTTTGGAGCCTGGAGAACTTGGAAAAGGGTTTACGGGTAACCATGAAGGGATGTTAATACAGCGACACCCTGTAATAGTGGAGGAGGAGAAAGAAAGCTTGCTTGGTGATTTGTGCAATTGATATCTTAAGGCGCTTTTTCTTTTTATCTTTGGTAAGGGTATATATGCCCTACTTATTAGAAGTGTTATACCACTGGAGTTGTTTGCACTGAGTGAAGCAGATCACTGATTGGCACTAGTGTTGTTTTGCAATTTTTCATGTTTGTTACACTATTGTTTGCGATTTGCACACACTTAGAGTTTTTTTTGGATCAGTTATTAAGGTAATACACCATTTAGTTTCTTTTTATTTTGAGGTCTTCAGAAAGCCACTGAGGGGATTTCAACACCTATTCAACACCTATAAGAAAATTCTACGTATATTACATTTATCCTTTTTCATCATTTGTTTTGGACGGTTGAGACACTGACATTATAAGTAGAGATGAGCAAAATTATTCAAAATTCGATTCGGCTGATTCGCCGAATTTGCGGAAGAAATTCGATTCGATGCGAATTTATTCGCTGCGAATTTAACTTATTAAGAGGGTTTCTAGGCTTCAGAGAGCCTTTATATTAGTGCAGAACACTGTACCTTAATTTAAATGCCCTTGAGTCTGCTGGGGAAGAGAAATAATACTGTCAGTCAGTATGACATGCAGATGAGTGCCGTCGATCTTAGAATCACCGCACACTTCACTCATTTGGGCAGTCCATGGGGGCACGACGAAGAAGAAGAAGAAGAAGAATGAAAAGAAGAAGAATGAAAAGAAAGAAGAAGAAGAATGAAAAAAAGAAGAAGAAGAATGAAAAGAAGAAAGAAGAAGAATGAAAAGAAGAATGAAAAGAAGAATAAAAGAAGAAGAAGAAGAATGAAAAGAAAAATGAAAAGAAGAATGAAAAGAAGAATGAGAAGAATGAAAAGAAGAAGAAGAAGAAATGATGAAAGAAGAAGAAGAAGAAGAATGAAAAAAAGAAGAAGAAGAATGAAAAGAAGAATGAAAAGAAGAAGAAGAAGAATTGAAAAGAAGAATGAGAAGAATGAAAAAGAAGAATGAAAAGAAGAAGAAGAAGAATGAAAAGAAGAAGAAGAAGAATGAAAAGAAGAATGAAGAGAAGAAGAAGAATGAAAGAAGAATGAAAAGAAGAAGAATGAAAAAGAAGAAGAATGAAAAGAAGAGAAGAAGAATGAAAACAAGAATGAAAAGAAAGAATGAGAAGAAGAATGAAAAGAAAGAATGAAAAGAAGAATGAGAAGAATGAAAAGAAGAATGAAAAGAAGAAGAAGAAGAATGAAAAGAAGAAGAAGAAGAAGAATGAAAAGAAGAATGAAAAGAAGAAGAAGAAGAATGAAAAGAAGAAGAAGAAGAATGAAAAGAAGAATGAAAAGAAGAAGAAGAATGAAAAAGAAGAAGAAGAAGAAGAATGAAAAGAAGAAGAAGAAGAATGAAAAGAGAAGAAGAAGAATGAAAAGAAGAAGAAGAATGAAAAGAAGAAGAAGAAGAATGAAAAAAAGAAGAAGAATGAAAAGAAGAAGAAGAAGAAGAATGAAAAGAAGAAGAAGAATGAAAAGAAGAAGAATTCTCAGTACAGCAAAAAGTGTATCTGCAGAGAGCTCCGCTATTTCTGACAGTTCCTTCACATTTACAGCGGTTGAAACATTGTATCTATTTGTTTAATAAAAACATCTGTATCCTAAATGGAAACAAATAGATACAATGTTTCAAACCGCTGTAAATGTGAAGGAACTGTCAGAGAACTGTCAGAAATAGCGGAGCTCTCTGCAGGGACACTTTTTGCCGGCTGTAGAAGGGATGAAAATCGGTCCGATCGGGAAAAATTTGATTCGCGCATCCGAAGTTTGCTAATATTCGGATTCGGTGCGAATCGAATTTTTCCTAATATTCGAAAACGAATTCCACTTCGCCAAGTTCGATTCGCTCATCTCTAATTATAATTAAACAATTTATAAGTATTGGTGGCTGGACTATTGAACAATATCACTTTGAGGGGTGTGGGTTGCATATTGATTGTAATTGGGGGGATATTTTATTTCTCTTTAGAATTGTTTTTGAATAATGTACTTTCAAGGGTTGAAAGTTTTGTAATTTGTATTTAGAGATTGATTGGGTTATTTTGAGTTTATACCGTATTCACATTTGTAATTATACTGAATGAAAGGTGGCTTGCCATTGTTTGGGAGTGGATGTAGAGTGAAGATCTTTCTCCCATTTAAGCATCAAGTTGGTTTTACAAAAGATGGTTTTATCTTGTAAGATATTATAAAAAGATACTTTTCTTTAACCGTTTGTTTGTAGGAGGTATAAAAACACCATGTTTTATGATGAGTAGTGAGTGCAGGGATGGGATGTTTGGACAGGATGTGTATTATATGAGCACATGTGAATATTGATGTTCTAGGTAGGTTGTATTCCCCCTTTAGTTCCTCTATATTTTTGGTGGTGCCTTGGGTAAGAAGATCTGAAACTTTATAGATGCCAGTAGTGGGATCATACAATATTTTAATATTACATTGTCAGACTGATGCTCGGTGTTGAGGTTCCTGCTCCTCTATTGTCACAGATATTGACACAGATATCTCATTAGCATGCTGGCACCTCCAGACATCCTAAACCTCCTCTGCATGGAACAATGACCTCAATGAAGAAGAGCAAACTTTAGAAGGAGAATTGGAGTCTAGATCAACCATGAGATTGAAATCTCCAGACTAGGAGGTGCTCATATTTAACAGATGATAAAAGTTTAAAGACTCTGCCTATAAAGCGTAGTTGGTGGGAGTTTGGTGCATAGATGGCTAGCAAGGTATACAGTATATTATTAATATCACAAGTAAGAATGATTTAGCGGAACACATCATGAAATATTGAACTTTTTAAATGGAAAGTGATGGTGTTTGGAAGAGCCAGAATAGCCCTTTTTTCTGTGATGCACATGCCAAAAAGATATGCGAGTAGTCCATGTGGGTGCATTTAGGAACAGTCGTTACTTGGAAGTGTGTCTCCTGAACACATACTAAATCATCTTTGGCCCTGGATGTTTGCAGGGTGGTTGAGAACCTTTGCTTTGATAGACAGGCAGTTAAGTGGCATTAGAGTCAGAAGGGGTGATGTAGT